CTACTATTCAGGGCAGTACAGGAAAGGCTTTGCAGAAAAAGAAACTTACTAACTTTGCTTAAATCCCAAACCTATCTGACCATGAAGCCCTCTGCTCCTCCTTGTTTTGACCAAAACCTATCACTATAATTCCACAGAACTGAGGACATATTGTCTTGAGAACTCCCTAATGCTCAATGCCAGGAAGGGGAACTAGTTCCTCATTCCAAAGCTCATCACCTCGTGAGAAAACAAGTACATGTCTCTTTCGATTGATGTCCTTTTTCTCCCACAACTGTCGGGACTCCCTCAGCCCCTCCAGCAGCTATAACCAAGGACCTACAGTGAGAGAGTCTTCTTCCAGCCCCTCTGCCCCCACCTCCCAAGGGTGTCTAGTCTCTGTACCAGCTTAAGGTATGCAAACTTCTAGGTGATATTTTTAAAATTTTTTGCATTGTGCTAAAATACATACAACATGCAATTTACTATCTTAACCATGTCCGAGTGCAGCTCAGGAGTATTAAGCACCTTCACCCTGCCGTGCAACCAAGCTCCGGGCCCCTTTAATAGGAGTTTTCTTCTTCTTTTTTTAATAGTTTATTTTTATTGTATTTTTTCCCATTACCACTCATCCCCCTTACACCCCCTTTCACCTCCACCCACCCTCTCTCCCCACAATCACCACATCATTTCCATGTCCACGAGTCCTTTTTCTTTTTTACTCCATCGGTCTACCTGAGAAGTTTTTTTTTAGGAGAGGAAACATGCCCAATACTTCAAATCAAATCTGTACATCTTTCTGAATGCTGTAATTTTGTGCTCCATTTTTGTAATTGCTATATTTAATTATTCTAACAGTTTTCACCTTTGATTATACAATAATTTTTTTTCCATGACATCACCGTATCAAAAAACAATCAGGGGATTTTGCAACAGAAGAAACTGAAGCAAAGCATCTCAACAGCTTTTGAAAAGATTCCACACCACACTCAGCCCCTGTGCTCTGGGCCTGTGCCAGGAATTGCACTGATGGTTATATTATTAGCAACGTCTAGCTCAATACAGCAACTTATTTATTTACAATGTGAATCACTTATGCTGCAGCCACTGGTTATTCTTCTATTAGCTGCCTTCCGCCCCAAGTAAGGCACTTAGAAGGCCCTGGGAACACAGTGGCAAGGTCACTTCTAGGACATGTGAAGGGACACATAGTGTCGATTCCTCCCCAGGCATGTCTTCCCCATATTGTTTGTAAGATTTAGGGGTAATAAGCCACCATATCCCAATCCCACAAAGGCATCAGCTTTAAGACTCCACCCTATTGAGGTGATGGAGAAGCAGCTACTAACTGGGATGGGTTCAATGTGAAGTCGTCCCACAACTGCTCACAAAAAGGCAGTGCAGGTCCTCAGATAGGGATGCAAGGAACTATAGCGATGCTTAACATCTGGAGAAGAGCCCGTCCGCACAGAAGGGCCACAAGGCACCATGAGAGCAGTGCTTAGTCACAGCAAATGTAGGGGGAAAACGTAACCATTCGTGCTCTTTGGCATCTTACTAAAAGCACCCCACTTCCCTGTCCCCCCGACTTGGCAGTCTGTGGAGCTTGGCATCTGAGAGCAGGAACAGTCGAGAGGAGGACACCCCGAGCACCCCAGCGCCCAGTGCTTGCCCTGGGACATTGAGTCGGCCCCTCCTTCTCCTCGGGCAGTGCCATGCTGTGCACCTCCAGCCGCCGCTTCTCCCCGAATGCTTTCATCAGAGTCGGGGCAGGTGAAGGCTGGCTGGGAGGGCACTGAGAGTCAAGGCAGGGGAACACCAGGAATACCCGAATGGACACATAGGCACACGTTCTTCTTGCTGGCACTTCAAAAAGGAAGCCTTGAAGCTGATGCTTTCTCTCTCTCTCTCTCTCTCTCTCTCTCTCTCTCTCGCACGCATGTCATATCAACAGAAAAAAAAAAAAGCTGCACTCCAGTTCCTCGAGGGTCAACAAACTATGTAAAATTGGGTTCTGATTTTTCAAATGTTTCCGTAAATTAACACTACTTAGTCAAGTATTACCAATTAAAGTCAGAAGAATTTAAAAAAGAAAGTATTTGAAGCCAGTTGATTCCTTCTGTTCACACCCCCAGACTTGGGTCTTCAGTGGCCCATCCCTCTAGAATTCTCTAGCTTTCCCAGCTCAGTTTAACTAATTGGCACCAGTGGCCCATGCTGGCTTGATTCCCTAGTGAGGTGGGCAACAGATTAGTAGGTTATTATTTTATATTGATGTACTATATATATTTCTGTAGACTTTCCCAGACACTTGCTGGCCTGAAAACTAGAGGTTTGGCAGTTCACTTACATACCCCAAACAATTTTGGAACAATTTAATTAAAAAAAAATCTATTTATTGAACTTATTGGGGTGACATTGGTTATTAAATTTCAGACCTACTGGGGACCTGGCCCACAACCCAGGCATGTGCCCTGACTGGGAATCGAACCTGTGACCCTTCAGTTCACAGTCTAGCACTCAATCCACTGAGCTACACCAGCCAGGGCAGCAATGTACATTTAAAATAAAGAATTGTTTTAGAAATACAGGGGTGCTTTTTCCTCCAGGGGTGTTGGAAAGAGAAAGCTTGGGGTACCTTGAACTGCCTGACATGACAATGTGGTGAGGGAAACCCAGGACAACCACTAAGATAGAGAAGGCCATTAGATTACCTTTTTTTGTTGTTGTTTTAATTAGTTCTGGAAGACCACAGAGGTTCCTTCCAGCCCGGCTGCTGTTTTTGTGAAAGGGTAAAATGAGCCTCAAGATGGGGACCGACCAGCACAGGGCTCCCCTTCCCAGGCACCAGGGACAAGGCCGTTTCAGTGCCCAGTCTGCTACTGATGGGAGTGGGGAAGGGCGGGGGATGTGACGCCCCAAGGAGGAAATTGGCTCATTTGTGCTTCCAGCAAACATCTGAGCTTCTTTTATATGCCTGGCTTTTTCTAGAGTGTATACAGCAACAAACAAAGCACCCAGAGACCCCCGCTCCCAGGGAGTTTATACTTGAGTGGGCACCGATTTTGAAAAAGTGGTCCCTCAGGCATGCAACACGCTAACGTTAAATCAACAAGTGATTTTCAGAAGATGTTCCGTGCGCAATTTCTACGGTCACAGCAGTTGAAGACCCACAAAAATATTTCCTACCAAACCAGATCATGGTTTCAGAAACAAACAAAACCAGATCAGCTGTGGTAATCGAAAAGGTTGTGTACACAGGAACACAGATCAGCAATCACCAAAGAACTACATAGAATTCTGGACTCCGGCAGCAGCGGGCAGGCGGGGTGAGGCCCTCTCCCAGTGGAACCCACGCCCCTCGGGCAGAAACGGGACCGGAGAATCCCGAGTCCTGTCCCGCCATCCCTTCCCGTACTTTCCATAGCCTATTACACAGCAAACAGAGTATCACTGGGTCTCTCAAGGGAGAAATTTTTAATTTTATGCTGGGAAACATAATGATGTACCATAGCTACCTAACCTAACAATACGTCATTTCTTTCCTTGTAGATAGAACTATGCACCTTGCTGATGAGCAGACAAGTCTATAAACTCATTTACAGAGGAGACAGTCATTTATTTAGAAAATGATTACTACTCCCCACCCCCCCCAAAAAAAAGTGCTCAAGTGACTGAATCTGTCATGGACGTACAGTGAGCCTGTGGCCCAGTGATGATGACGTTCTTGGGCTCTGCACACTTTGGCCCCTTCTTCCATACAAAAATAGTTAAGAATTATATTTTATGACTGCACTGGTCTAAAGAAAAAGATAATCCAGGCTAGGTCCATTATGATATATTCACTATTATTATATTCGTTTTATCCTGCTTCTGGGAGAAATGACAATTAAAACATTTTCGTGGCCACTAAAAGCATCCCAGACCCTGGGCACTGTGCCTAATGGTAAGTCAACTCTGAACCACAGACTCTTCGTGTTTACGCTGCGCAGCACTGCAGCCATGATTTAGGCAAAAGTTCTCCCGGGACTTTCTTGCCCGTAATGACGGTCTGCAGTAAGCAAACCATTGTTTTACCAGTTAACCAAACACCAGAGAACCCTGAACTCTGACACAAGCAAAGTCATCTTTACACCATTAAAATGCTGTTTGTCTTTGTAATCGCTCTTAGTACTTCAAGAAGAATAATGCAGTGTATCAAATATTCATGATTCCAGTAAAGCATTATTATTTTGCTAGTCGAGGGCAACAAAGCTCTAATCCATTGTAACACTGAGGGCTTTCATTTTGTTTTTCTTTTATTGTTTGTGTCAACAGAAAGACCTGTATGCAAAACTGAAAAGATAAACTCGTGAGTGACAAATGAAGACGCATACCTACCCAAATGAGTTCCTTCATCCGCTCCTGCCGTCCCAGTGAGCATTCAGCACGCACCTGAGCAGTGTCAGCTCAACGTTCCAGGTCTTGACAGAGAGCTTATCGTGTGGTCAGAGTACGAAAAATTAAAGTATTTGGAAAAGAGACTAAAATAATTGCCTAGACTTCCAAAAGAGTGGCGGGGGAGGCATACTCTCTTCCTTCCTTGGCCTTTTATCATTCTTTGTGGCTTTTCAAATACTACTGCCACAAAATTGGATTGAGATTTTAAATCTTGAAGAAAAAGAAGAAGTTAAAAAAGGACAGGAAGAACTTTTCTGGCCAACGAGAAGCATGTAAAGTACTACCTAAAGACAGACCAACTAGAAGGCCAACAGGAAGAAACGACCCCGAACTGGGTCACTCTATCGTCTCCTTTTCCTGGTTCCATTTTTGTTCTTCATGTGTGTCTTTTTGAAGTCAGCATTTTCTTTCGTAATTCGTCCTGTAGTTAGAATATTTGTTACTCTTTTACAAACTAGTTAAAAGAAAAACTGTGCCTACAGTGTACTTCCTTTACAAAAATACCTAACAAACCTAAACTTTGAATATATTAATTTTTTAATGTGGTTCATACTCAATGGCAAAAAATGCAAACAGCTTACTTTTATAGCTGAGGGAAGCCTTTATTCAGTGTGGTCGCCCAGAGACTCCTAATATCCGTCTTCACCTGTAGTGGAAACACAAAAAATAAATGTCTTAATTTTACTTAAATAAATACTTAAGTAAAAACTTTATTACTTTTCCCTATGGATGAGAAGTAGGGCTCACTCTAAGTAGCAAATGGAAGACCGGAATCAAAAAGACCAAAATTTTCCCAGGAAAATGCCACATCCATGTTATTAGTCTATAACAGACGTAATGCAATAATCATAACAATTAGTAATTTAAAAACAAAAAAAAATAACAGGATATAGTATTAGAAAGTTACTTTGACTTTCTCTTTCCCTTGACATACTCAGAAAGTTCAAAAGAGACTTGACCTTTCAATAACACTTAATAACTAAGTTCACTGACTTGTCAGAAGAGTTTACTCTACCTGGGGGAACAAACCCCCGAGGACTGGAAAGAAAATGGACTATTTCACTCAGTCGCAACCATAGTATCCCTGCTTCCCAAACAAAAGTCCTCCACAGCAAGGGGACAGCCTTCTACGGCCATGGCTGTGGTTGTTTCCCATGATTCCTCTCATCTCACATCTTTGCAAAGGACCTGGATAGGGGGACAGATGTTCATGGCGGCGATGCTTACATCCGGTAACATTTGGGATTGCTGTTTTTCTGGCCACTATTTTTAAAAGGAAGGGACCACAGATATTTTAATGTTTTTTTAGGCTTTTAAAGGAAAAACAAAACCCAAATGTGCCGAGAAATTTATCAGCTGGGTATCTTCATGAAAAACGTTACTCAAGAATATTCCAGTTGCAGAGGGGTAAATCAAAATAAAAAGCTCAAGTGGAAAAGCGGTCCCGTAGTGGTAGCGCGGTGGAGAGCATTGAAAGCAAGGGAAGGAGGAATGAAGTAGGCCAGTCACTCTAACTATAGTCCCGGCAGAGTGTGAACTTCCAAATTCCTGAAAAAAAAATGTAATGAAAAACTTTACTATCATAACTAGCCCCATCTAAGTCTGAAGTCCTGGATCACGTTATTAAAACCACAGGCATAAGCGGGGGCAGAGGGTAACGGGGAGCTGGCTGCATTTGTGTACGGGCAGTGAAGAACAGGGTTTCATTTGCAATGCTACTTCTTTTTATCGTCCTTGGAGAGAACAAAGAAATGAACTCAATATCTAAGCTCAGTAAAGTGGAAACACAATAATAACTATAATCTAGAAAAGGCAGAAATAAAAATAAAAGCAGTGGTTTTTGTATTCGGATATTTAAAAAGCAGTTGCTGGTTAATTACACAATGAAATACCCTGTAGACAGATTTCAGGCAATTCTAGTCGTAAAATCTAACAGAAAACCAGAATTGTTACAGGAATGTATTACAGATACGGGAGAGATTAAAAAAGGAAGAGTGCCATATAAAAATATCCTTGTGAGTAAATTTGGACATCTCAATGGAAAGAGTCTTCTAAGGTGGCATTTAATTATTAAAACTGAACCAAAAATATAAAAACTTAAAAACTAATGAATGTGGTTTACTTCAAGAATTAGATTATCCCCAACTATATAAAGAGCTTTCAGCATCCGAATAACTGAGGCTTCCAGTTTGTTTGATGAAGTTATCCCAAGCCTGATAACCAAATGTGTGATAGGACACAAAGAGAGAAAAAAAAAAGTAATAGGCTTGTTTGACTTCAGTAAGATAGAAGAGTACTAAATAAAGGTCTCAGGAAACTCAATTTTAGTATGGTAAAACAGTCATACAACAATATATATGGGGCTCATTCTAGAAACATTCTATAAGTAGATCTATTCTACTCTAGCGATAGGGTCACAAGAGAGCAACACACACTCATATTTTCCAGGATGCCAGAATGACACGCGATAAACTCAGTACTGATATCTGGCAACCTCTCGGCCACCTAGAAATAGATCCCTTACTGTGATTTTTTTTAAAAAAGGTTTACAACCCACAGACATTTTTATTAAAAAGTCAGGATGAAATAAAAGACACTCACAATGCAATGGGGAGCGGAAACAAACTGGCTAAATTACCACCATCCGCAGGTGACGAGTTTGAATACCTAGAAAACTCAAGAGAAATCTCTAAAAAAATGCCCCACTGGAAATAGTGCTGCGAGATGGTTTGAGGAAACAACACGGAAAAGCACTGTTCTTTTTTTAAAGATTTTATTTATTTGTTTTTAGAGAGGGAAGGGAGGGAGAAAGAGAGAGAGAGAGAAACATCAATGTGCAGTTGCTGGGGGGTCATGGCCTGCAACCCAGGCATGTACCCTGGCTGGGAATCGAACCTGCGACACTGGTTCACAGCCTGCGCTCAATCCACTGAGCTACGCCAGCCAGGGTGGAAAAGCCATATTTTTTGTCCAGTGGCATCGACGTCCAGTCACAAACATGGGAAAATGGAGACAGTCTAAAAGTAGACCATAGTCAACAAAACTGTGCTTATAATGAAGGATTTATATAGAAACATATACGGAAATCTAGGATACTGCTTTCCTCATGAGACATGATGAAAAGTACAAATGTCCTTCCCCAAAGGTGGGGAGGGAAGCATCATATAGCCAGGAAATTCAATACGAGGTGAACCAATGAGTTTATATGTGGGGGCTGTACAAAGCGAACTACCATCATAGGAACAAGAGAACAGCAGGAGAGCATTTACAATCAGTGGTGCTTATTTATAGGTGAGTAGCTGAGGACCCCAGAGGCTGTTCTATAAATTAAGGATAGGATTAAAAAAATTGACTATCCGGCCTGAAGTGCAAAATCCACTAACGCGTTATACTTAGGACATTAAGTAAAAATAGAATTTTATGTTAAGAAAAATATCCTCTCTGAAGATTGGGGCTATGTTATAAATACCCACAGAGGTTATGTTTGTGAGGAGATGCTGGCCGCACCTCACTGACTCGCAACAAAACCGGTCGCGTTTTATTGCTTTTGGCCACAGAACAATGCGGAACGTATATAGTCTGGAGTGCAGGCAAGGTAATGTTTAAAGTAAGTTATATAGGCAAAACACAACTAGCGTGCTTTTGAGAATAAAAATAAACGAAATGTCAGGGTTGGTTCTGTAAAAAGGAGACGCAGCTCCAATATGTCACCACGTCCTTTTAACTACACCATCTAAAATAAGCTTATTCTTAATGTCAGATGACAGAGTGCAGAGAGAGACCAACAGCTTTGTGTCCCTAACAATAACTATGGGATCAATTCTAGTCATTCTGAAATGAATGCTACCAAAATTGCCCACAGGAGAGACCAAAATAAAAGGCCTGTTAGCTTTGGAGGAACACCATATCCAGGAACGGGGTAAATGTAGCTTTTAATGTAGCTTTTAATCACCGAATTAGGTGATGTTTAGACAAAGAATGATTTAAAAGTCATGTCTGATTTTTAAAAACCCACTTCTTATGATAAGAACTAAGAAAAAAAACAGAGTACTATCTTACCTAAAATGTCAATGATCTGAAATACAGGAGCCCTGAAGATTTGTTTATAAGCACACAGACTTTGTTATCTTTATTTCTTGGGCAAAACACATGAAATTCATAGAAGAAACCAAGCAAGGGTAGAAATCCATACAAGGAGTTACGAGAAATCACAGGACTTTAGACCAGTATAAACTATAATACAGTTAACAGTAATACTGCCAAGGCACAGCAAATCTCTGCATGTTCCCCCCATAAGGATCTAAAAGAGATGGTCAAGTAGATAAAAACAAAGTATTTTTGAAGGGATACGCAATTGGATCATGTTAACCCAAAAGGAATCTCTGTATTGGGACTGGAGTCCTGCTTCTGCCCCATACCTGCCACACTGGGTGCCACCTCATTCTGATTTGGGAATGCTAGGTAACTTATGGCTCTAGGTCCACTGTGCCACAGAAACCACATTCAGAAACCACATGCTGCTTCCACCTATCCTTCCTTAAGCTGCCTCATTTCCTTCCTGGACTATAAGCAATGAACAACAACTGGTGTAATACAAACCTTAAACTGGCTGCTGAAAGCAGGCAGAGTAACAGCATCCGTTATGTGAGAAGGCCCATGTCCACCTACCTTCCTTCTAGCAACTGTACTGGCGTCTTCCTCTACCTCTCCCTACTCCCAGCCCATTTACTTTGAATGGCATTAATTAGGCTAAGCCATTCATCATGCTTCAGCCCTCTAATTACTTTGATTGGCTCATGGATAGGCACATGGCTCAAGCCAGACCAATCAGGGCCAATGAGACCTAATTTGGGGTATTTTATTAAAACGACTGGGGAAACACACCCTTTCTTGTTTCTACTAGACACAAATAAGAGAGGATTTGGAGGCCAGAGCTGCTGCAGCCCTCCTGCAAACAGTGGGGCCTGCAAATGAGCCAACATGGAGAAATCTCACACTAATATATTGCATGCTTTTGAGCCAAAACTAGACATACACACTCTAATGTGACTTGCTTTCGTCCACTCAGTATTAAGCGTGTGAGATTCCTCCATATTGCTTTGCTAACCAGGTAGTGCAATTGTTTGCACTAATGGACAGTATTTCACTGGATACTTTGTGATATGAGTGTTCATATGCTCCACTGTTGAACTTTTAGACCACTTCCATTTCCCCCCTCCTCATTATAAGCCATGTTGCACATTGCCCTGATACAAGGTTTCTACCTCGTATTTACCTGCTGATGTGTTGGTCATACGCATGTTGAGCTTTATTGGGCTATGCTAACTTTTTTCAAGAGTAATTGCACCAATTTAAAACTCCACCCACAGAATATGAGAGTTCATTTTGCTCCATATTTTGGCCAACTTAATACTATAAAATTTTTGCCCAAATCCCATTGTGTAAATTCCTATAACTTTATAACAATGTAGGAGGTCTGTCCAGAAGGTGTTCAGCCATGTATTATGAAAAATAGAGACATTTATGGAAGAGGATACAAGATACAAGAAACATTGTACCTAGGACAGTGACGCTTTAGTCCCCTTCAAAGTAGGCACCTTGGGACCTCACACAGTTCTCCCAGTCACCATCAGCTGCCCCCTTGCA